CATTTTGACGAAGGCAATGTTACGCGATATTAGAATACTGAAATATCGTGTTATTAAATATAAATTAAAATGCAACGCAAGCCTCTTTATGAAAAAAATTAAATGTATATGTAAAATTAAATAACTGTAAATGTGTTAAAGACTAGAAGTCGGGTCGATCGATGCGTAATTGGTCTCGAAAATTAACGTATTTTTTCCTTTAACTAACTTTTATCCATGAATACATTTTGATACGGTAAGCTATTGCCCGTGGATGACTCACTATTTTCCTTTACTGCAGATGACTTTATGTCGCCGTCAACCACGCAAAGTTAAGAATGTAGCCGGCCCTTCTCAATTCGACACTTCAATAATGTTTTTTCAGAAAAAAAGATAATTGGACTACCACCACTATCTTTACAAAAAACGCAACGCTGCGCCAGCAATGAGCAAAGCCATTTTTCTTATTTTTACATACTATTTATTATTTATCAATTTTTTCATAAATTGATACGATAATGATAGTTAAAATACACGTTTTTAAAAACTCATGGACGCTAAAAACAATTGAGGCCATCATCAGACCCCTCCGCGCGCGCCGGCTTTGTGCATTTTCAATAATTTTTTTAGAGATGTTGCCACCAAAATTTTTACTTGCCTTTTTTTGGATGGTATCTGTTAGCACTTTACTTGTTAGTAAAAAAACCCAGCTTTTATAGTATAACTTGAAAATAATTATTTTTAATTAAGCCTGGCGACTAATTCCCCCCGAGCAATCAAACTGGCAATTTATTTGCATGTTTCTGAGTGATCTATTATCAATATCCGATAAAAATTAAGACTTATACTATGACTTAAAAATCCGTTTTTTTTCTCACCTGCGTACTTCTAAACCCCCTAAGTACGGCCAGCCAGGTGTTCGGATTATCGAAGGAGAGTCGTCCACGCAGGTTATAACGAAAAATTGTGATTTATAAAATCACTTGGCCAAAAGTGTCGTCAGCTCTTGGACTAAAAAGAACACATAGGGTTGATACGTTGTAAATGAAAACACAATACCGCATCCAAACAAAGGACAGAACTGTTTAAAACAATGAAAACTTTATGACAAAAGCAGACAATGCGAAACGTAAAATACACAAAACGATATGGTTTTATAAACCATTAAACATGTAAAATAAACCGATCAAATATGTCTATCCAAGAACGTAAATTTCATTGACTGCAACCGTCATATAATACAATTACACGAATTGGTAAATTTATAATAACGTCCATATGCAATCGATTTACACAGAAATGTTTTTGTTTATGCTCATTAAGCGCGCAACGTCAGCCAATATCAACACATTTCAATTTAACCAAGCCTTTTACCTCACTTATGATAACTAAAAGACTAACTAACTGCAATTTCTCAATTTATATTAAACTTTCGATCTCAAGCGGTTGTGGTTTCGTGTAACACACGTACGTTCGATATTCAACAATTGTAGTCTTTAGAAAATCGTTCTGAAGTCTGTCTGAAAAAGAAGAAGAAGAAGAAGAAGAAGAAAAAGTCTGTCTGGAAGAGCAGAATTGTTCTTCCTCTTCAGAAGTCTCCAAGAGGAACAACTATGCTTCCTCTAGGAGGTAGCTATTGACGTACTTCGAATATATAGTAGAACAACTTTGAACAAGAGACAATTTCTTCTGTACATGCGCCTTATTACAAGTTGAGAAGTTGGAACAATCTCTAAATATAAACTAAAAATGTATCAGTTTTTTCTAAATTATAGAGATAAAAAATCAGAGAAAGAGATACAGAAAGAGACTATTATTTTACATTTACTCGTACATACATGTACAAGTTTTTTATGTTGCAGAATAGTTATTTTTAATACTATTGGTTGACTATGTTTGCTCTTACATTTGTAATTCGTTCGGATTTCCAATTTTATGCAATGTTTAACATTGCCAGGTGACGTTTGTCGCTGCAAGAGGAAAATCGAATCAAAGCGACGTAATCTGACTTAAGGCTGCAGAATACCCGCATTTTTGTCCTTCTCGCGACTTAACCCCTTCTACATTCATCCCCCGGTGGGATTAAAGATACTGAGAATGCGGAACCTCGGTGTGGGGCCTCGGAGGTTGAGACAAGTTTAATCCCCCGGCTGTAATTACGCCGTATTCCAAGGCTAAAAATATTTCGAACCCTGAGGAAAGGATAAATGGTCAGAATGTGAGGGACGGTCAATTAAGCGCGACTTTGTGCCTTCGTCTGGATTTCCCACGTGATTTTCGCTCTCTCAGCATTCACCGGTCTGTGTTGTCCATTTACAAGAGAATCGGGAACACATGGACGAGCACGTGAGATCCCGACGGTTTACGCCCGTTTTGATTCGCTGAATCCGACAACTTGCTGAATTTAAACGTTTTTGCAGCATTAAATTCAACATGTAATTTATATGTAATATATAAATCCAATTTAACATGTAATATATAAATCACAAAAGAGACAAATATCATGAAATTAAAAAATATCTCTTTTTATTATATTACTATGTTATATAATATATTAATAGGGGTATTCTCTCAAATAAGTTAGAGTTTAACGGTTTGACAGGTTATGTCGGGTTAAAGTCGGGTAAAAAGTTAATTTTTACACTTTTAACCCAAAGATTAATGTGATAGGTTAATGAAACACTTATGCATTTTGCATAACCTTAAAGAGTAGCGCGCCCAAAGTTAATTAATTAACTTTTTACTCGATTTTAACCCGACATAACCTGTCAAACCGTTAAACTTTAACTTATTTGAATACCCCTAATATGTAGTATGTTAATATTATAAAATAATAAAATAAATATTATATTAATATATAGAGTACATAAAATCAAGTAATTTTTAATTAAAACAGTAGCATGATCTCGTAAAGAGAAAATCTATAACCATAATTTCTCCTTCCAGATCTAGTTAGATTACAATTCGTCACAAAAAAGTTCTTTAATTCCATCATTTTATGGCGAATTATTTGTCGCAAATTAATTGTCGAAAATAGGTCTAATTAAAATTTAATCATTCTACGTGAATTGCCGATATTGTTACAATATTATATTCGAGCGAATATTATGTTAGACGGCGAAGTTTCGTCGAGGACTCATTAACTGAAATCAATTACTGAGACGGACAGATTTAATTTCCCATCTGCGATAAAATAAATTCACTGTGATATTCATTTAGTATAGGATATTAGCACAATGAATTTTGTCAAAAAAAGAAAAGATCAATTCAATAATTCACGCTTATATTTAATGACATTGTCGGTGTATCTAATGATGTTATTTTTATTTTAAGGTATCGATAATGAAAATGAAAAATTAATTCTTTTATTATAAAAACAAACAAATGTGAGTAAGTTGTATTATTACACATAGAATTTGTAATAACTATATTGCATTTGATTTTATATATAAAATTATTATAACATCTATTTTAAAAACTATATTAATGAAATATTGTGTACCATAAATTTCTTGCTTTCTTCACATTATTAATTAAAACTAGTTTTTACAATCAAAAATTTATATAGGTATAAGCAATACCAAAGTTCTTATATTTTAATATCGCAAGTTTTCCAATGCGGTTTTGTATTTTATTATTTATGTAAATTTTGAAGCTTTCTTAAAGATATATTTAATGCTTCCGGATGCGCATGTAATAACAAACTAAAACAGCGACGGATATTCGAATATTTTCTCTGATATTATAGCAACTAAGAAAATCTTGTTCCTTGATTGTGTTCAATTGAACCGATAATGTTCACGCGAAGTTCAAAAGCAACTAAAAGCGACAAGAACGGAAGCGAAGCCAATAAGAAACAGATCGAGACGAAAACGAAACTTAAGAAGACCTCAGAAGCGCCTTACGGTAAATCGTGGTGAGGAAAAAAAGGACTTACCAATGCTGGAGACAGAGGAGAATGAATTGTTTCAGACAGGGAATCGATATATTGGTATTTTTTTCGCACTTTAATATCCATTCAAAGCTCTTTTTAGAAACTTCCGTGAAGAAACCTATAGCAAGTAAAAGTTTAATGAGCCGAAATACGTGAGAAAAAAGTCACAAATTTTTCGTAGCATTGCATTAAAAAAATGTATAATATATATTAATTAGTTATGAATTGTGTTGAATAAAAATTAACCGAGTACTCACTTTAAATTAAATTTTAAATAATTATTTTCAGAAAATTGGTACTTATAACTTTGTTTTTATAATTATTATTGTTGTATTTTAATTATGTAACTATTGATTAGTATTTAATAGTAATTTTATATTTATAAACTGTAAACAAGAAATTACATAATTATATTAAATGTAATATCTTCGTTGATTTTCACTTCTTCGCGAAATAGACTATCTAGTGTTGACCAAATATAACGCAAACCGATGGTTGATACCATGACGACACTTATCTTTTCTGGAACACTCTGCCACGAGACTCTTCGAGGGTCACTCGATCGAAGAACGTTTCGTGCTGCCATTGTCCCTTTTCAAGCTCACCATCGCTTTACTGTATGCAATAAAATCAGTTATAAAGCAGGATATCGCAAAAAAGATCGTCCAGCAAAGTGGTTAAAAGATAATCGAATTGAATTACGTCTCACAAAAAATTGAAAAATTCGGAAAGTGACAATTATTCATTAGATGATAAAAGTGCACCAAAGCTTACAAATAAATGTATTATTAAAAAAATTGTATTAATTATTAATAATAGTATTATTAAAGTATTTAATTGAAATGTTCATTATATTGTTTTTTATCGCATATTTTTTTCTCTCAAGACTCTTAAATTGTTACAAGCATTAACAAGATAAAATTTGCAAGCAATAGCACATGCAGGATATAAAAGACTATTTAAATATTAAAGACTTTAAGTATATTTATAATCGTAAAAATAACAAAATTTGCGGAAGGTTTTTTAACGTTGTTATATTTTACTCAACAATAAAATAAGACAAAAAATATTTTATCACTTGTTACAGATGCCATATGGAGAACCGATCTGGATTGGATGGTGATACATCGCGATCGCTTGGTGTTGCTAAGCTTCATGAACCCGATCGGCAACTTCAGTACCATGACTGGTTCAGTAACTCCTCAACCTTTCGTAACCCCGGAGGATGGTATTAACGAGAACCTCGATGATCTCACCACTCCAACATCTAGTTTAACAAACATTCCTGATGCGCTTCCTGATGCTGTCGAGACTCGTACCGAGACAACTACTAGATTCTCGACCGTTCTCCATCCAATCGTCACAGATCCGTCTTCATCCCACACTACTTCGATCTCCAGTACGATTCCCAGTAAGTCTACGACGAGCACCGAAGCGATTTCAACGACTCCGAAAACGACATCGCTCTCGAAAAATAATACCGTGAGACGTCCAACCATGAAACCCATCACCAGAAACGGCAGTTCGAAGAACAGATCGAAGGCGAAGAATCTCACAAGGCTATCCACCACAGCCAAACCTGCCAAAGCCGTCGGTGGAAACATGACGGCTCAGACTATGTCGTTAACAATGAATAGTCTGGCGGATCTCGATCATCCCGAAAATTTGAATCTGGAGCTTCAAGCAGGTAAACCGACCATCAATCTATACATCGAATTGTGACGCTTTTAATTCTCTTTTTTAAGCTATTTAACAGTATTTGCAATAAAAATAATATGTAGAAAAGTTTTTAAATGTTTTCAAAATATCAAAATTATTTTTTGTGACTCACTTACACAGAAACTTAGGCGCAAAAATATAAAAAAGATATTCGTTTATAAACAGATGAAAATATAGACCGCGCATAGTAATACTTTATTCCGTAAAACGTAGCCATATGGTTACAGTGGGAACGAAAATATTAATCATCTTTTTCTTAAAATGAGAGAAATATTTCAATCCAGAAAATATTTTTAGAGAAAAAATCAATAAAGCTACAGGCATTATGAAAACAATAAGAATAATTACTGAGCTTACTAAGAAAACGGAGAAACATTTTATGTTATCATAAATCATATCACAGAGAACGATTATATAAAAACTATAATCAATTAGAGAAAATGCTATTTACAGTCTAGGCTGGATCTTGATAATCTAATAATAATATTATGTTTGCATATTTTTTTCCAAACTTAGTAAACTGCGCGCTGATTTTTATCGATCTTTCTCTTTAAATTTAAAACACAGCTCTTTGTTGGAACAGTAAATTCACATACTTAAGTCGATAATCGACATAATTTTTGAAGTTATTTAATAAATCCTTATTAAATCACTGTAAAGAATTTATTGCAAAAAAATATCACCTCAGTTAGAGAACCTGAATCTCTCTACAATCCGTGGCTGGCGTCTTTACCAATTCGACTACTGAGACATGTGGTAAAATTTATGAAGCAAAGAATAACGCATTTTTTTATAATAGCTTGTAAAATAATTGTGCCGAATAATTAAATTTGACTCCACACCGTGATAGAATAAATATTGTGAAAAAACGCATTTAAAACGGGATTAACACGTCTCGTACTTTATTTTTCAGCCGAGTCATACGGCCCGATTACTCTGGAATATCTAAATTACGCCGTCGCACTCGGCGTCTACTCGGTAAGGTACCCTGCCGTCTTCTGGTCATGCAACAAAGCATTGGGTACGATTTTCAGTCTGCAGTTGGTCGTAAATTCAGCGCAGAGTCTGCTGGCTTACGCTGGAATGTCCGTCCTTTACAAGGTAAGCAACGCAAAGTATTCGATGCTAGTTAAAACTCACGGAAAACTTCGGTAACGTCTCAGTCGGTCCGCTATCACGTATACGAGATACTCTTGCGGATACAAGAAAACTTAATAAAAGTTCATAAAACGCTAAGGAATCCGAGAAACGTCGGAAATTCTCGAGAAATGTATTATAAAATACGGCGCCTGCATTTTATTAGGAAAACTTACATAAGTTTAAACTTACATAAGAAACTTACATAAGTTCAAAGAGGAACTCTTAAAAAATTCAAGGAGAAAATGTAAAGCCATTATTAAAATTAGAACAATAATACAAATCTGAAGTTTTATAATTTCTTTTTTGTTACATTATTTAGAAAAATGATTCTTCAACTTTGCGCATAAAATTATGTTCGCGTTTACACTCTGAAGGAAGAAGTTTCATCTATCAATAATATACATATAATTGTTTAGATATTTGTTTCTCCATGTATCTTATAACAACGATAATGATATCTTCATTAAGTATATACATATTTTTAGGTTCAGGTGGTAGGTGCCTTGAAGGTTCTGCCGCATCTTCGGCATCGCACCGTGCCGACAACCAGTACAATTTCGACAATATTTGGAGACTCTTACTTTCTGCTAGATCCTCCTGTAACTCTCGTGCTCTTCGCCCTTTTGTCTTTTCTAGTGCTCTGCTCCAGCATGGTCATGTACTTCTACGCTCATGGCAGGTAAATATTTAGCGTTTTATGCATATAGCGAGTTTTTATTCCGCATCTCGATTAAACTCCAACTGAGATTACTTGCCGGAACTTTCTTTAGCGAAGAAAATTATCTGGCCCATCCTCCATTATCAGATAAGAGTAACGAAACAAGTTTACTTATTCTTTAGATTATGCGAGGATCACATCGTGCGAGGACGATAAACCAGACACTTGTCAATTAAATTTTCGCGGAACATTTCCAACGCTTTGCTTTAAAACACGAGGATAAAATAATTATTTTTATTTATACATGTTTGTACGTCCCTAATAATTTATCCTTTCTTCATTAAACGCATCAATACTTTTCGCGGAATTCGACGATTTCGTAATTTTTACTTTTCTTTTATCCAGCTTTTATCTGACTTGCTAATTCGCTAATTTGAAACAGCACTTGTACGCGTAATACAGACAAGCGTCCTACCCGCGATACTGTTATTATTCAGTATGAAACTCAATGGTTTCCTCAATACAGTCCAATCCTCTTTTCTCGGCTTTCCGTAGTATCCAACAAAGGATAACAATTAACAATCTCGTTGGTAGTATATTTTTTACTCTAAAAGAATCTTTAAAGGGAACAATGTGTTGAACTCCAACAATTGAACTCCAATTAAGTTATATTTCTAAAAAGATAGAAAAATAGTCCACATTTAGATAATGAAGTAGAAAGTATTATTATTTTAACTATATTTAAAATATATAATTAACAAAATAGATTTAATATAAAATTGAACAATTCTCTTCAATATTTGCAAAAAATAAAATTTATAGAATTGAATGTGGATTTACAGTTTTATATTAAATTCAAAGTTTATTTCTGTTCAAATGTATTAAAGTTAATCCGCGATATCCACCAAAATGGGATTTTCGAAATATAAATAGCTCGTCCGCATTTTTTCTCGTTTCAATTATATAGACAGCGATATTGCAGACATTTAATTGCGCGGCGTATGATGTGCAGGTTCACGGCGTTTCTGAATCAGGAACGCGAGCGTCGCGTGATCCTGTCGAAGGACGGCCGCGAGGGCAACGGCTGGGTCTATCTGCCGCATTGCGCCGCGTTCGTCGTGTTCCTGGCGATCGTGATCTGCGGCGCGCCGTTGCTCTACGATTACACGGTGGTGTATCGCGGCAGCCTGGACGGCGCCATCCTCGCCTGCATCATCGGCATGATCCTGCATCTCCTCCTCTGGCTGCTACTCTGGATATTCCTCACCATCAAGCAACGATGGACGTTCAAGCTGCGCGTGACCATCGGACGCGCCACCGTGAGGTCCGCGAGGTCGGTCAAGCTCGTGACCGACGTCGACCTACTGTCGGCGAGGGACGACGAGGATGGCACCAACGCGCCCTTGCTCGTCGTCGGTAACGGCAGGACTTACACCATCGCCGACACGTCGCCGAAGAGGGCCATCATGAACGTGATACAGAAGGCCGCTATGGAGAGGAAAGCCCGATCGCAAGGTAATGGAAAGTACCGGCTAAGGTGCCTTCCGGAATCCGATAAATCGGATTTCCATTCTTATCTCGGACACTTTGCGTCAGCTTACTATTAGATAAATGACATTTTTGGAAGATTGAGTTGTTTCGTATCCGATTATACGTTTCGTGCAATGTAACAGAATTTTTCTTAAGAACGAGTGTTTTCTTTTCTTTTCCGCATGAAGCCGAAAAGACGGCGGATGCGAATTGTCGGGCATGAAATGGAATGAACCACGGGGGCTTAAAACTCTGATCGATGAAAGTACGCGCTGCTAATACCTGAAAGCGATTTATCCTTTTCCGCGCTCGTTGCAGGCGGAAACGTCGACGGAGTCGACGGCGAATCGACGGCTGACGGTGATGAGCAGATCTACTGGCTTAGGCCGAAATTACGTCCCTCGCCTACACAATCCCCGAGCGACACCGGCGGTGCACCGACGTCCGACAAGGGTTGGAAGAAGCTCAAGCATAAGGTCACCTTTAACGACCTGCCTAGTACGTCAGGCTCGCGGTAACTACCCTCCTCCCTCCTCTTGGTGTCTTTGTGTATCTGTTTCTACGCTTTCACCACTCTGCCCACGTTATACTTGTAATACAAGTAGCACTTTATCCACGTTTCTCTAGCTTTTAAAGTATTAAATATGAAGCGGCATCTTTCAAACGGTATAATTAGATTATGGTAGTGCTTATTTTCTTTTCTCTTCGTATCTTTATGAAATGAAAAAATATCCCCTGAGGAAAGCAATGGCAGTATATATTTTTGTACATTGGCAAGCTTGGTTTTTATTCCGGTAAAGCACGATGCATTGGAACTATTGGACCATTAGATATTCTGCTTCCTTATCTTTGCAATTTGCTATGTACACAATATTCACTTTAATATTTAATTATGATTCACGTTGTGCTCTCTCACCTTTTACTATTTGGTTCTTCTATTATCTATTATTGTTATCAATGTTCAAATGTTTTGAATTTTAATTGTCATCGTATATATGTGCTAATGTACGGGTAAAGCTTTCAAGAATATCTTCGTATTTCATCTCTGTCTATCTGTCTGTGTACCTATATATATTCCTCTTGATATACTTTATCCAAAGCAATTACTCCGTCACCGTTTCTCCACCCTTCTTGAATTTCTTCGGCAATCGTTGTGTGCACGAAAACATAGGGCGCTTTTTGATTATTGCATCTGAATTTCAGTAATAAGGGAAAAGCCAGACGAGGCGTCGCTGACGGCGGGCCTGACGATGATGGAGATTACGCCACGTTACGTGAATTACCGTTAATCACTTCGCTGGACCCTGCCGATGATTCTACCTCTGAAGAAAACAAGGTAAACTATATGTACACTCCGATAAGTTATTTCTGTGATTCATAAAACAAAAGAATTATTTAAATTATTTTTCCGTACGCGGAACATAACATAGATAATATTTTTAATTTTAAAAACGTCTTATATTTATGTTATTATACATGTTATTATTTATTTTGATGAAACAGTCAACTTTTATTTAAAGAATTTATTTTATTATGGTCTATTTGATTGCACCAAATACGCTTTCTTCTCATTTTTTATCTCTCTCTCTCTCTCTCTCTCTCTCTCTCTCTCTCTCTCTCTCTCTCTCTCTTTCTTCCCGCCACTCTTAACTTAGAGATTTTCTTTGCTTTCGACAGTGGCAAAGATGGCCGATAAGTCATAGGGACGGTATACCTAAATTCAGGAATGTAAGATACACACAAAATTATTTGTGTACTTTTACGTAACATCAATTAACTATGTGTGTCTTTCTATTAACTAATCTTGTAATACAAATATAATTATATGTGGAATTTATTAGAATAAATGGATAATAAGCATGACTTAAATATTTTTATTTAATATAACTGTAATATTATTATGATTAATAATATTAGAATAATGCATATGTAATAATTCTATAAAGTAGCTTGATATGATTGATAAACATGTAACAAAAGTATTAAAATATAATTTATTAACATATGCGTCTTTATAATTAATATGTGTCAATATATGTAAAATAGCGAACATGTTTTCTAAATATATAATTATATGTGCACATGTATGTATGTATATAAATATATATATATACATATACACATTTATACACAGCTATACACATTTTTCATAGCTTAATAATTAGATATAAAGCCTGGCTATCTTGTCGCAACTTTAGTTTATTTAATATTAATTATTTTCATCTATTAATATTTTTATCGCTATACGCATGAAACTAAAACGTCTCCTCTGGAATACTAACGGTGCCACCTTTTGACAGTTGCTCGAGTGCGTGAACGACGATCAAGTGACTTATTACGCGAGTGCGAGTCGTGACCTACAACCGTCGGAGGGTGATCCTTCGCCCCTTTTGACCCCCGATCCTCTACCTGATCCCGCGGAGGAACCGCTTCCATTGCCACCTCCGACTCCAACTTCCGCACCAACCACCGATATTGCCACGGCGCCACTAACTACAAATGTCCAGGTACTAACAACCCTAACTGCGCATTGTCTGGTTCACGTAGACGAAGGCATAAGACTGTCGTTGCACTGACAATGAGTACTCGCACTCATCAATCGATAACTAAAAATGTAAAATCATATATAATTTACTTTTGGATAACGGGACATTTTTTTACTTCTCTTGACAAATCGTAGCTAAATTCTTTCTACAGAATAATGCAACGACAATCTCACTCATCGTTTGCAATCCAGGTAGCTAGCTGACGTTATTTGTCATCATTTTGACACCGAAATGTTGGCAAAGACGTCATTTTGATATCAAAATGGCGACAAATAACGTCAGTTTGCTACCTGGACATGTTCAAGACTTCGCACGCAATTCTACTCCTTGTATATCCTGAGTAGCCAAAAAGAAAAAGAAACGCAGTTTATATTACAGAAGATTATACGTAGTTACTTCAACGTATCTTTGTGCATCGTCCTTCCTTATGATATGTGTTCTCGCGCTATATGTGCTTTCGTCGCTTTTACAACTGCAGCCAGAACCGCAATCGTAAATCAGCGACGGAACTTTCCAGATGAACGGCGGACAGACGCCACGGTGCTTGCGCCGCGCGGATTCCGGGATGCCGCACGAGGAGCTGACACCACGCTCAGACTCCTCGAACTCGCCGCCCTTGGACGCAGTGGGCAGCGGCGGCGGTGCCGGTTCGGTGACCGGTCACAGCAACACCAGCAGTAACAGCGAGACGTCAAGCGGCGTGCATAGTAACGCGAGTAACGCCAGTAACGCCAGCCACAGCAGCTCCCAACGTCGGGCGACCAGCGTAGACGACCTGACCGGGGAGCCGCGCGAGGAGCCGCGCGAGCAATGGCGCAGTTGCTCCCTTCAGCGTGGCACGCAGCCACCCACAGCGAACACGACTTTCTCGCCGCCCAGCAGTCGCCCCGGCACCAGCCAGTCCTTCTCTTCGCCGCAGTACGTGAACCACGTGCCGCCGTACAGCAATACCACTAGCAACGAGATCGGCGCCGGTTGCCCGGCGGTCATTCTTGAGAACCCGAATGAGGCGACGGTCGTGATCCGCCGCAAGCTCTCGAGAACGAAGCTCACGGATCCACTGAATCCGAACGAGGAACCGTTCGGCCGGTCTACCAACATGAGGATGACCTCCTTCACCGAGAGCAACGACATCCGCATACAGGCCTCCTCGGCGACTCTGCCGCACTATCCCACGCAGCCTATCGTCACCTATCCTCACTGCTCCACGATGCCGCTGCCGCACGCGTCCCACAGTGTGGCCGCGGCGAACATGAGCGGCGGCTCCACCGGCAGCTGCGGATCCGTGCCGAGGCATACCTTCGTGCCGCCGCAGGTCCACACCACTATGCCGGCGCACACGACGCTGCCGTCGCATCACAACGGCGTCAGGCTGCTCCACGCGACCGCCGTTGGCCCTGGTAATCCCTTCGTCAAGAGGTTTCCGCCGGTGCAGTTGCATACCCAACCCTGGGCCCTGCCGGGCCATCACACCTTCCCGCAGATGCCGCAAGGCAACAGCAAGCTCACGGCCACCGCGCAGATCAGACAGAGCGACCGAGACTCCGCGAACTTCTCCATGGCCAGCAGCGGAGACTCCGACACGTGTTTACCGCACTAAAATAAAACGCGCAAAGACTGCATGAACTCGTATCGCGTTAGGTAATACCTGGTATTTTCATAATAACATTTTCGTGATGACAAATGACATCGGAGGGGATCGCAATTTCCAGGCAAGCGTACCGATGTCACGATCATGATCTCCCCAAATGCTTATTCTGATGAATGAGAGTGATAGAAATGAAATAGGCACAGAGAGAGAGAGAGAGAGAGAGAGAGAGAGAGAGAGAGAGAGAGAGAAGCTTTTTGCGCGAACTCGAGACAAGCTGCGAATATTTTGCTTTGGAATCGATAAATCTCTAGGACTCACGAAATTGCAATACGCATTCAGTATGTTGCATTACTTAATGGACCATTAGGGAGGAAGCTTTTACGTATATTTCATATCGCATGCTCAAACGCTGAAATTTTAAGGAAAAAGAATCGGACTAACAGTAAGATTAAAACGACATATCAATTTCTACCGTTTGTTAACGTATAATAAATGCATGTGGCATTCCTTAAAATACAGATTATCTCTATTTTTTACAATCTGATCTCGATACTCGATATGTCGGTCAGATTTTACCTGGTTATTTATGTATAGGCGTCTATGATATTAACATAGAGTTTATTGCATAAATTGCGTATATACGAAAAAATTTCCATTCATTTGAATGAGCAATGTGCATCAATGTAAACACGTAAAAAAAGAATAAGTCGATGATAAATGATTATATATATTCCACAGGTAGCTTATGGAGGTAATTAATAATTGTACGAGTAATTAAAAGACATAAATTCCGTTATATACATATCCTATACGTTATGACGTATGTCCCATTTTATCTTTAATCTCACAGCAATAAAGAGAGGGATAACTGAAAGGGATAGTGATATAAATTGTAAAACAATAGACGACTCGGTTAAGAAATCTTCATCTTGGATAATGTGAAATAGTTCTAAATCATGCAACAATAAGGAATTATTGCAAAATATAAGTAATGCACATATATCACAATTTAAAAGAGAGAGTTAAGCAGATTACAATTAAAAATATGAGTAATATAATAGATCTGTGCTTTCTCGAGTTTGCGCGAACATCTCTCGGTACGTGTCGACGCGTGCTTGTAGCTAGAATCACATTTTTCTCATGTTCTTATATCGCGAGGCGTGAGGAAGAATAACAGCGAACGGAGAAGATCAGCGTTTTGCCGCATTGAATCCCGGAAGGGAACGGCAGGCGAGAGTGAGAATAGTTATCCCATTTTAGATACGGAAAAAGTTATTGTGTTGTCTTAAATAAAATTCGTGTATAGAGTGAATTAAGGATAGGCAGTTAAGGAAAGAAGAATGTGGAAAAAAACTCGGATCGCCCCTTCGTACGCTTTTCTATTAACATTTAAGATCTTTTTTCCATCGATGACTGTAAATTTTGTTAAAAACGTAATTTGTGTACATTGCCAATTGTTTGTTTATAAATGCGACGCGATGAGTCACTTGTATGCGATAAGGCGAAAAGAAGAAAAGCATTCCCGCATTGGAATGCATATCTAAACTATGCGCAATGCGTTCTTTGTGCGTTTGCTTTTGGTCTTTCTTTTTTTTTTGTTTCCTTTTTATAGATTTATCGAGTTCATCGAGGATAAATGTTTGTTTGTCGAATCTTCTATGAATTGTATGTTTAAATATTTATGGAATTATGGAGGAATACTGTGCGAAATAAATATGCGGACGGTTTTATATGACTGTAAAATACACAGACGCAGATTGTAGTCATACGATTTTCGGCCTTGGTGAGATTTCCGGTATATACTACAAATATACCGTTACATTAAATCTTCTTATGGCCTGATAACGCTATACCATAATCTGCCATTTCGATCGTAATCATAAGATTTGCGATATTAGCAGTGCCATCGAAATTAATATAAGCACACATAATTAGACGAGGAACAAGAAAGAAACTGTTTCATTACCCATAGAATTAAAACCCATGAGTAAAAGAGCTAACTTAAGATTTACCGCGAAGATAATACGTGCTACTTATTTATTTGCGAATGGCTCAGCACTTCTTTACAGTCTAATATTCTCTCTTTTGTTAGAAGAACTGCACAAAACTGCATACACACGCGAAATTTCATACATTTTATTTTATATTGTTTCTCTTTGGAAGAGAAAAACATAAAATAAATTTTTCGCCTGATTTCTATCAATTTACATTATTTATAACAATACAACGAGTGTATTTATATTTAATGCAATATATATATGTATCCAAATAAATCGTTGGCGCATTGCAAGAGGAGAAAGACAAGCGCAACTTGTGACAAGTGGGTTAAGGAACGATTACTGCCACTCAATCATGAAAGAGAGAGAGAAGATCTATAGATCTCGATTATATTTACTTTCTTCAACTGCCATGTTATTTCGTCCTTTCGTCAATATAAGTAATCACCATACTCGTTTACTCGTACCTAAGCATTTACTTGTGCGTATGCTATCGTATACACACGTGCGTACATATAGTATATATATATATATATTATAAAATTATAAAGCATACGTTCTCGCTAAGTTGCGTTCTTTCGCGACTATATATCATTCTATGAGACGCGTGATGGTAGAGACCGTTCTCGTATAAAGATGCATCACATCAAGTCTTTCTCGCAATCTAATGCAGTAGACATTGCCACATAATATGACACAACGTTCGTTTCATCTCCTTTTCGCTTTTCGACAAATCTTTCGGAAGTCAATATTACAAATCATTTCATCCGCCCAACGATATGCCATAATATTAAAAAAATGTTACATCCTGTGGATGCTAATGTGTATCGTCGATTTGTAATTATTCGTGACAATGTAATTAAATTTAGCTTTTAACAAATTTAAAAACGAATTTAATTGCATATACAAGTCAGCGAATTGGCTTTACGTTAGATTGCGATAGGCTAAGAAGGAATATTATGAGACTCTAACGTAAGTTATATAAAAGAGAGGTCAGACAAATGAAGAGTTACATTGCTTCAATTAAGAATAAATAAATAAATTAAATTTAATACATAATTTATATAAATGAAAATTATTAGTAAAAGAATTGATTTGCAAATTATGTCAATATAATATTTTTAAATTTATTATTATTATTATGTATCATTGCTTATCTATTATTAATATTAATATCATTATTATTATTGTCATCGTCAAATGTTTTATAATATATTATCAACTTTGTATAAAATTGTACGTATTAGTTCTCGAAAGTAAATGAAATGAAATATAGCACTCATTTGTGTGCGTATAGTGAGCGCAATAGCATTTTTTTTTTGTAATCACCGATATAAAAATACAAATGCAATGATAAACAAGTAGTATTATGATTGTATATCAGTATGACATGTGACTGCGGTTGAAAAAATTTTTACGCATTCCGTAAAAGATAATAACAACAACAATAAAAGGAAAGTGTGAGCGTTCTTTGTACGGCATTGTTCGGAACTCATGCTTTTTCATGAGACAATGCAATATGAAACCAGATATCTGTATTTTTCAATATCTTCCAGTATTAGAAATAGCAGTGTTCTCAAGCCTTGTTCATAGAATATTTCTGTTATACGAGTTGTTGTACGAGCAAAGGTAATCCCACGAAATCGTGGGAGATTTACTCTGGAAAATTCTGCGCTTTCCATTTACTTAAGGTATTACACAAGGAAATGTGATGAGAGTAATCCAAGTGCAAATCTAAATGGGTTGTAATGATTGTTCTTGGTACTATATATGTATAGCAAGGAGACATTTTATCCTGTAACAATACATTAGCGGCATTTGAATATTCACGAGATATCGATTCGTAGTGCAGATTTTAACTTTGAGTTCCGATTCTTTTTTGAATCGTGAATAACCGTATTGTCTTGTAAGCTATGGAAAGTACCTATCAAAGCATAAGAGATCGACAAATTGATTACGAACGGCAAGTTCGTCACTTTTATACGACTTATCGAGCGCTTTGTCATTGCCGATCGTACATATCATCTCGCAAGGACCATGCATTTCGCGAAGACATTTACGAGGAGATACTCAAGCAATAGCACGAAGCACCGATCAAGGGCTGGACCAGACTTCTTAATGATCAATGAGCTCTAATAGTACCCAACGTAGTGCGAACATATTTTTTAAGGGCTATTTTCAATACGCTAGTAGATGAAGAAATAGGACGAGGGAATTTTCGTAGAGAGAAAGAGAAAGAACTCGGGATCTAAATTTGGAAAGATTTATTCTGCCTTTCCTGTTTATAGTCTTATATAGTCCATATAGCGCTACCCTTGATTCTGTTTCGAAGAATAGATATACTTAACGCTAGGATCACGTATTTTCCTCAATGCAAATGCTTTGGCACGACACTTTCTTCCACGTATTCACGCGCGCGTGCGTTATCAAGAAATCTTCGTTGCAACATTCTCTTATGTTTAACTTATTCAAGCTATAAATTTTCAATTTTAAAATACACAACTCTGTTAAATCAATCTATTGTTATATCTCTTGCTTTTAGTGACTAATTTATATAATTTAACACTCTCTTATTGCTTGCTAAAACTTATTGCATTTATTCTCTACTTCTTTTGTTATGAAATATAAATTAGGCAAAAGTTATTAATTTTGTATACATATAAACAAAATTTATTTAATTTTTTCCTTTTTTATTATGATTTTACATTTATAATTTACTTGTAAGATTATGTTTGTATTGAAAAAATGAAGTATTAAGTCAAGTACTTTATTCATTATGTATTTTCAAAAACGATAATGGATTAACTCTCTTGCGAGTAGCATCCATAATTTATTAGGCATTCAACGGAGATTCCTGATAGCGTTGACTCGTGTATATACAATCGATACATTATTGATCGCGCCGTTGCAATCGCCACTGATACAGTTTTTTAAAAATGCACACAGCAATGGTAGTAGCACAAAGAAGAAACCTATCTTTTGATAACTGCACCATGAATGGCGGATATTGCTGCGGCGTAATCGCGACGACCATCATAGAAAATAGTTAATCGTCAACGATGAGGCACGCATCTTAAAATCATCATTCAAGACACAGTGTTTTTGCGGCGCGCTTTAGATTCTATTTTAGTGATAATAGAATTTATTTAAAAAAATTTAAATTCTAAAATTAAGTTTATTCGTTTGGAATTAAATATAAAACTTGTACTTCTGTACAAGTACTTGTACTTGCACTTCTGAATTCACAGAGAGAGAGAGAGAGAGAGAGAGAGAGAGAGAGAGAGAGAGAGAGAGAGAGAGAGAGAGATTCGGCGAAATGAGTATAAAATTACTTTTGTACTATTTCTATTCTTTCCGATCTCCTTTAAAAGGAGAAAAATTCACACCTTTATTATTTAATTCGTATCTACAAAATTTTCTCGTATGCATTTACATATCTATATGTGTCTGTAAATGTTTTGTAAGGATGCCTGCCCCGTTCTCGACGATAATTCTGCTTCGTTATACTTGCGTGCGATTAAAATCAGATAATAGTCGACATCGACGTGTGCGCGAGAAACAAGAGCAGCGACGAGATACAAAAAGCTGCCTCTCGCAGAAATATTTTTTTACCGTCTAGCGTCAGCGACCGTACTCTAATTCGTTTTAGATCCGGCTAGAACCTAGACGTAGGTGTGATCGTAATGCAGTCGAGGAAGGCTCCGCACCGGAGGCGTTTCGGAAGCAAGGAGCAAGATCTCTATTGCCATATGTGACACGCAGCCCTGAATCACTCGTACCTTAACCCGTTAACGAAAGTGATGTCAAGTACGATATTGTGCAATTCTCTAAATTGATTAACAGCAAAATCGGGTCGTTATATTCTCATTCTCATCTGTTATTTAAACCAATACCTTGAGTTAAATAACATTTTGTTATTTTTAATTACCATGTGTGTCAAAATATATTATTTTAACACAAAACATTATTATTTTAACTCTATTAGTTTAGTCAAATTAACATTGTTTTAGTAGAATTAATGACATATTGAGTAGAAGTAGTAGCGACCTATAGGAATGGTTAAAAATTATTAAAATTGAATATATTTAACACGAATTTAACTACGAATTTAACAGTGCATACTTATCCTCATAAGTAAAGAGAGAGAATTATGTTTAAATTTTTAATCAATTCTCCCATCTTTATTTGGACTTTCATTCATTTAAGAGGGAAAATATAAAACACACGCACAATCAAATACAATAAGATCAGAATAAAAAATGTAATAAAAAAAAAAACATGCAGGGATCCGTCTAAACAGTTTTAATTTTTCATTTGTAAAGTCATCTGCACGGGATTGAGGTAACGAAGTAGAGATGACATCAAGGGCCGAGAGAAAAATTGGCTAATCGAAATCCCCTTTTTTTCTTATTATTTAATCATTGATCGCGCGAAATCCTTGGTTCCACCTCAGAGCAAGAGCATGATGAAGAAAGAGCCGGTCAGAGCCCTCCAAAGAGTCGCGTCCCAGGAAACGTGTGTATAACCGCGAGAGAGCGCATAATCGATGTGTCATTATATCGACGGCTCCTCCGAAACACTTGTAAATAATTAAGAGTCGCGTCGAGCGAAGAGAACCGCGAGAGAAAGAGAGAGTGCGAGTGTATGCATGCGTGTATAAGAGCGCGAGCGAGACGGACACATACAGCGAATGTGTACGAATAATTGTATAAAGACTGATTAGACTAGCCCTTGGTATTTATTCGAATTTAACGATTAAACGCTACCGCTTTGCGCGCGCCCTAAAAGAAAAAAAAAGATATTCATGGAGCACGATTCCAAAGGTATTCACCGACGAAACTTCGTTTTCCCATGAGAATGTCGGTATACCGTTCGACACAGCGCCTCATTAGTTACAATCGAAAGGGATTTCCTTTCCATTGTTATAGTTCGTTTACCGGTTCGTCCGAAGCGTAAATTCGGCAATTCGCGCAATTTTTTTCCCGATTTCCGAGAGAATCTATGCTGGCCTAAAGTTCATTTTTTTTTTGTAAAACATTCTTTTCCCCCCGCCAAGATGTTCGCTTCGTATCGCTACTTCGTTCGGTTGCGCGTGTATCTTCGAGCGCGGTCTCAGCAGATCGGGAAAAATAGAAGAGTGAAGGCTGAAGGATCGTACATGAAGATCCGATGCGCAACGCGTTCCGAACGAATCAGCGTTATTCCCTGCGCACGCTTAATTCCGACACTTTGATAATCGACGATCCGACACGTTCCAACACATCGTGCTCGAATACGTATGAACGCAGCAGAGGGAAGAAGGACACGCGCGATTATTAACAGCGACATTATTATCGCCACAACGTATCAATATTATTCAATGCATCGTATAAACCAGTAAACTAAATGTAAACTTTGTATATTCATTTACTAAGAGAATAAAAGTAAATTATTCGATGAACAGCTTGATGCGCTCGATTCTCCTTATAATTCCTTCGATCAATCTTGCTGAAACGCCAGGACTTGAAAGGAATAGAATCTTATTTTCTGCATGACATGTTTATTGGTAAATAGCAAATATTTTTCATCAGTAAATTATAATAATTATGATAGAAAATGTCGCAATTATTATTTTATTTAATATTCACAAATTTTCCATTAGCGCCCGTGCTCTTTTCAATTCTGAAAAAGAAAAACATGAATTTATTATAAATCTTTTCTTATAAAATGCCTAACATTTATGTGCATATAGCATGAAATTGAAAATTTGTAGTATAGTGCATGGGTTTCTTGTAACAAAGTAATCTCAGAAAAAGCTACTAGTTCTTTTTTATAACTAAATTCTGTGTTTCTGTACCCTTCAATAACACTTGCACATCATCTTTGGAGATATTTATAGTAGAATCTTCCTCTTTTCCATTTACTTTCTTCAATTTTAACGTCACAGCGGAAACAGGCGACGAGCTATCGCAAGGTAGTACATCGATGGAGGACAAGCGACTGACTGCGAACATAAAAATTGGAATGTAAATTTTTGCATAAACCAAAACATATTCGATGCAATCGAAAAATATTGTCAGATATAACTGATATAAAAGTCTATAGTTTTTATATCTTTGACGAGCTAAAATTTTTCCGAAAATTAAACTTGATAGCCCACATATCTTTTCAATTTAGTTTTACAAAAATGTAGAGCTTGCCTCTTAAAGATTGAGATGAAAGAACAGACGTGATCTGGAGACAGTGATCTGTGTGAAGCCTTGCTACAGCTGTGCTATGTTCTCGCGGAAGTCCCAATTGTTGCAGTTCGCTGCTCAAGTCAGCGGCGGAAACGCCATATCGTGCGGAAGATGTGAATATCAATTCGAGGGCGGCTACTATTGCTTTCGCATCACTTACATCTAAATAAAACTCAAATCTCTACATTTTCTTTTCTTTTAACAGCTATTTATCGCATGATTTCATTTGGTGATTATAATAATAATATACGAAGTTACACGCACCAAGTTTGGCGTCTTGTGTGATCTTTTTTACTTTTTCCTCCTAAAAAATTTAGTGCAATTAAGGACAATTAAAATATACTCGAAATAGAAAAATACATAATTAAAAATTTTAATCGTTTATTTTCTATTCGACCAATATCGAGATTGATATAAATTTACAAGTAATTCAAATTAAAGATATTCGATATAATCATTAGAAAGAAAGTATTGGCATATTATCACAAGTTTTAGCAAAATAATGAATCTTATTTAAAACAATTTTTTCCTATTGGCTTTTGTGTATCAGTGTTAGCAATAAAAAACAAATAATTTCAAACCGTAACTTTTTAGCGGTAGATCTGTATTACTTACATTAAGTTCCCCTTCGGTCAAATATTTAGCCACTGCTTGACCTAGCATTTTCATTTTAATTGAAGTCTAGAAATGAAATATTGAACATATTTATTAAAAAAAAATATCTCAATGTCTTTTTTCATTATATGTATAACTATCGAGAATTCTAATATAACTTTATTATAGGTATGGGAATATATCCCACAGGGAGAAACAAAGAATTGAGAAATACCATTCGCGAAAGCGTGTTGATTTCCGCCAACAACCAGTCTGGACAGTCGCCATCGCCGAGAAATCTGAACCTCTATTTATAAAATATAGAGAAACAAGATGTTAAATTAAGTAATATGTGTGTTTAATAGTTTGTTAATACATCAATTTCAAATTTTTAATGGATATATAGAAAGTTTTGAATAATAAATTAGAAAACACGTAAATTTGTGTATTTATATATTTTAAAAGCATATAATATATTTTTGACACAAGTTTACTTTTTTACAATATTTGATTTATTTATCTCTTTAATTATCATAATAGCAAAAAATAATTTTAGAAGGCTCGAATGATTAAAAATCAATAATTAAGTGAAAAGCGCACAGAGCCGTAACAAGGTTGTTGACTACTTCTACTTCTCGACACTTATTGTTTTTATCCTCGCGACAATTTAATTATAAGACATGACCTGTTTGGATGGATCCATAAATATTGCGATGAAAATACCTTTGTGATATGCGTTTACTGTATCTATAAAATTTTCAGATACTAATTGTACACTGAGGATGGGCTAATGTCAGGCCGAAACGTATAACTTCGACCTAATTAAAAATTAAAACCAACGACACCTTGTTACGGCTCTGTGTCCTTTTCACTTAATTAGCAAAAATAATTTTTGCGTCCTAACGTATTCTTGTGAGCTCTTACCATTTTTGTTAATTTGTTAGTTTGTGCCCAGGCTAAATCAGTTTTTTTCACCTAAAAATCACGAACAACTTTTAAGAATTATAATGAAAGTGTAACTAATAAAAATGGTTTTATACAAATGACAAAGGATTTTTCCACTAGGGCGATAAAAGGGCGAAAAAGTAATATATAAAGAAGTCACGATGTGATTTCTACTACGCTTATATAATGTAATTATTTATCAAATTATCAAATCCTGAATCTCGTATTGATTTATCCTATGCATGCAGTTCGATATTTAATCAACTTGGAATTCACCATCAAGCTTTCGATCCTCGTGCAACCGTAAAGATATAACTACGTACGTCAGTCAATCACACTACGTCTACTGCGGAGCACGGGTTCGCCGCGTGCCCTCGGGGCGGAAAACTGGGTGACATTTTTTTCTGCCGCGCTGCCCCTATACAATATCTTATGTTTCTAACAATAAGTATCATAACGTTACGACGGCCAAGGCGAACAGACGTGGACGTCAGAATGTTTGCACTCGTTGGCGGAGTAGATTGGCGTGGGCATCCGCGCCAGGTGAACGAATTCCCCATGCAATCCGCCTAATCTTTCGACCGCAACGGGATGACCCACGGGGCTTTCGACCGACGGACATAAATATCCGCACAGAAGTCGGCCCGTCGCCATTCTAGTCGAGGAACTCGCGAACGTCGGAGATACACCGCCAACAGGTGAACGCCGCAACAGGTAAGGGATACCGATAATTGACTTGTTAGTAGAAGACAGCATATTTTTTTCGCGATCTTCCATCCTTTATCATACTGATTTTATATAAAATATAGATCGATTAAAGATGGTTTTTTAAATTTTGATCAACAATTTCTTTAAAGAAAACCAACAAGCAATTATGATAATTTAATGTTTCTATTTTCATCGACAAGTATTAACTGTATTAATACGATTGAGAATTAATTTCGGTAATAATAGCCTAAATACATGTCAATTACAGTTGAAAACTATCAGCAATGCTTTTTAAATTTGTCGAGCTCTAATAATTAATATATTCTCCGTGTCTGTGCAACGAGTAAAATGATAATTATGTTATAATAAAATACTTATTGTTAGTACTTTTTTTCTACGCAATAATTAATAAAATAGGATAAAACAGAATTAGATTTTCGCAAGATCGATGTCGATATTCATAATGGTCTTACTAATTGGATATGACACTAAACGATAAATATTCTCGATAAAAATAAGATCGCTATAACAAAACTATCGACACGTAACTTTTGTACATTATGCCTACATTACTAGGCACATCACAGTATTAAATAAAAATGCACAGAAAAAAAAGAAATGTCAAATTAACACTGATATACTTGGATACTTATATGCGCAAGAATGTATAATCTTGAAATAAGATTATATTGCATTGAACAAAGAAAACTTGTTTGAATGCAGCTATTTAGTTAAATGAAGTTTTATATAGTTCAATCAAGGAAAAAAAGTTGAAATAAGAAATTGAAATTCTTATAAGGAGATTATATGTATATATTCTTGCGTATAATTCTTGCGTATATACAAGTATATCAATGTTGATTTGACACTTATTTTATTTCTATGTGTAATCTATGTACGCATAAATCTTTTATCTTCCAGCAATGAGGCAAATATTGTTGGCCATAACTTTGCTATCAATAGCAGTGTCCGAAAATATTCTAGTAAGTAAAACATTGTTTATAACCGTTTTGGTACAATATATTACAACCGTTTCCTCAAAAATACCGCACCAAAGTATTGAATATTGACTTCAGTAAAATAAAGAAAATCGACATACTCATCGTTTTCTATGGTTTATTAAGATTCAGCAGTAATGTGCGTAAAAAATTGATTTTGTGTTTTAAGATGGAAAACCACCCAAGACTGAAGACGGCATGGATTTGCGATAAGCAACTGTGGAATAGGAAAACAAAGCGAATACCACGGAAAGATGTTCCTTCCAAAATAGAGGAATCCTTAAATTATGAAGACGACAGGCAGTTTCCCCAAGTTTCGGATGCGCGATTCACTGACGAATCAAGAAAACTGCCCGCAATCATCAGGTAATACAACAACATTTACAGTCTTACCTGCGCTAAAAATTTAAACATAAATTTTATCCTATATATATATATATATATGTTTGAATTTCTAATATATTATTACAAAAACCAAATAATCAGAGGCCAAATTTCATATGGCATATCGAAAAGTAAAGAATCTTTATGTATCAGTGTTTAATAAACATACAAAAATAATAAAATCCTATTCATTTTTAATTCTTTATTTCTTATTTAACAAAAGATTTGTGATATAAAATTCCTTACTAATGCAATATTAAAAATGGAGTATAATAAAAATTTTCACAAGAAATAAGGAAAGAGAAATTGATTCGGCAAATTGCCGCAGGTGCAATTGAAAAACAATATGTATAATAAAACATTTACAGAAAAGTATTTTTTTTCTGCCAATAATTGATTAACAATTAAGATTTTATTTAATAATCGACTACAATTGACTATCATTGTT